GTGTGTGTGTGTGTGTGTGTGTGTGTGTGTGTGTGTGTCTTTGTGTGTATTATGTGTGTGTGGGGGGTGTCTTTGTGTGTGTACGTACGTGCGTGATTGCGTGCGTCACAGCAAATGTCATCACAAACTCGTAAACGTTCAGTTAATTCGATCTGTAGTAAACATGATAACCATGTACTCCTTAGTGTAAAATTGATATAGTAATGGAATAAATTATATAATAAACGTGTGCTTATAACAACTACTTATAGAGAGTAATTATAGAGAATAGTTATTAGAATATATAATCGCAAGGTGATCACCATATATGTGTGTTACCATGATTGTCTATTCAGTAGGTAAATACTCTGTATTATGTACGCCAACAACCTGCGCATAGTTTCGTGATCACGAGCTAAATGTTTCTTTCCACACAATTGCGTTTATGTAATACGTGAAAGCACTCACTGTGTTAATGGCTTCTATGAGGCTGGCGTGTTGCGCCTCGAGTGATACGATTCTGCTTAAGCACGCATTCATCTCGCTCTCATTGTTTTGACCCTCTTTCAACTGCTGCGGAAAACACAAGAAAGTAAGTGAGAAAGTAAAACCAAGCGAACAATCTTGTATAGTAATTAAGCAATTATAAGCATATATGAAAGCAGGTAGGCTTGTATATTAATAGATATATAAGAAATAATTAACTGCCGCTTCATTAAAAATATTACCTAGACGGCCAATAGACAATGCGTTTTCCGATTTTGATCTTATTTCCTTGCATTTTTTGTTACAAACTATCGTTTTTGAATATGCCTGCTTATCTATCAGTTGATTCTCTCAGACGGAGATAGATTGCGGCTGCCACTTTTACCTAGCAATCATTTAGCTCACTGTCCTCGTGACAGGATTTATTATTATTAGACATGTAGGCTCCTATAGTCAGGTTTATCGCCGTTTCTGGGTCATTCACGTATTTTACATATGCCAGGTTTGGTTATAGACAGGAAGAGGCGCGATTAGTTATATTTGTATATGCTTTTTCTAGCTATTTTACCTACATCATAGTCATTCCTCGTGTTGTCCAGCATTAGCTTCAATGCGTTCGCTCCGGAGATCAGAAGCTTCTGCTGTTCATCCACCTGCGTACACGGGAACAATAGTGCCTTAAGCTGGATTTACACTGCCAACTTTGAGTTGGCAAATTGCCGAATTGCCGAATTGCCGAATGAGAACATGTTCTAATCTTTCAAATAGCTGCTATCGATCGATTGGACGTGCAACTTTTGCGTTTACACTGCCGATTGTCAGTTGCGAAATTGCGAAATTGGTACAATTCGGCAAGTCCCCAACACAAAGTTGGCAGCGTAAACCCAGCTTTAGATGAAATCACACGTACGCGTCTATCTGCTACCGCAATCACCGCAGGTCTGTGTGGTTTTCTCCCGAACCAGATTGATCACAGACGCTCGATTCCCAAAACATCCGGCTGCGAAAATGACCTGACTCGTTGCAGACATGCTGGCAATCTGCTAAGCAGCTGGGTAATGAGTCTCGCCAAGTCGCAAAAAAATAAAAACTAACCCGACTTATCTAATCTTCCATGCATATCCTTAAGCAACACGTTGGCAGTGCTACAGTAGTTCGAAGCCATGCTTGCTTATACAAATATTATAATGGTTGACATCGAATTTCTTTTTGAACACGATTTTTCATGATGAGTTGAATCTGTATGAGGAATAACTCATATTCAACCATATAATATAATATGTACTGCAACATCATTACCAAATTACCGCATTAGCTCGTGTAAATGGTAGCTAAATAATCTACAACACAAGTAAAGTAATATGACTTTGCAGTATACAGGTGTATATGTATTTAACGGTGTGAGAGACCCCAGCCGTAATCATTGTATCTGCATGTTAGTTTATTTAGTATGTATAGCAAATAGGTGGGAAAGCGATGGCATTGATAAAGGGGCTATATGGGAACATCTTATTCCAGTAGGCATAGAATGCCATTATAGCCGTGTTCAAGGAACTATGTGTATGAAAGGCCGATATATATACATCAAGAGCACATAATGGAGACGTTCTCTATTATGTGCTCTTGATGTACATGTATGTGTATAAATAATATATTAGCAAATATAACATCAGTCGATGGATGCAAAGCACATATACATAATACACATAATTAGAACAATATATAGTCACGATCACAAGAACAAACACATAATGTGGGCCTATAAGCTACAGCACAGCTCACACGCTCGCGATCGATGGTAACCAGTACTATTCTGGCTCCAGATAGTTTTACGAGTTTACGAGTTGGCGATGCAACATTGGTTTTTATACGCTATATACTTCCACACTGCTATATACGATTAGGAAACATTACATAAAAAACAGTCGTTCTCAAACATTCATTGACAGATATTTTTTCGTTCTTTAACTGAGAAACACCGCGCCACTAACAGTTTATGCTAATTAACTCGACGGGAAGAAAAATCTTTAATTATAATGTAGGCTACTCGGGACACACATTAACACTACGCGATGAGTAAAACATGATATGCTGACACGCTATATGTGACTATATGTCACACACGTGGTGTCTGTATAATTGCGTCATTACCAACGCAATCATTAACCATAGTAAGTGAAGCCATTTAGATTTATATATATATATATATATATAATATAATATAATATAATATAACATAATATAATATAATATAGTATATAATATATATAATAAAATATAAGATAAAAGTATAATAATATAAATAATATAATATAATATAATATAATAATATAATATAATATAATATAATATAATATAAATAATATAATATATATATTAAATATAGATATAATATAATATAAATACATATACATATAATATCGTATACATAATAACATAACATAACCCATAATCTAGCATAATATTAATATAATATAATAACTAATATATTATGATTTACACACATGTACATGTGTACATCGTGTCTGCCTGGATGAGGTTCTGCGAAAGATCTCCGCGCTCGTTCGCTTCGCTCAGGCGAGCCAGCGCAGCGCGTCAATTGATGAACGTCATCCGCTGGCGAAATCGCGCGACACCGCGCA